GTGTGTGTGTGTGTGTGTGTGTGTGTGTGTGTGTGTGTGTGTGTGTGTGTGTGTGTGTGTGTGTTTTATCAATACTGAGTTTCAACACGGTGAGGGGTTGAGTTTGCACATCTAGGTTTTAGAATATGCTAGCCTCGGAACGCCGTGTTAAAGTGTGCATTTAAAAACCACACCCCCCGTAGAGTGAGAGGTCTATTATCACCACAGGATCAGGTTTAGAGAAAAAGGAAACAAAACCAAAATAGACCTCCGACACCGAGACGATGTCCTGCTTTAGACATGCTTTCACAAAAAACTGGATTTTATATTTCCACCTCATTGTTTATTTACTTGTGCTCAGCCCTGATGCAGCTGAGGACGTGGGAAAAAAGAATCAAAGGAGGAGTTTGACTTGAAATTCTCTGCTTGTGTCCACAGGAAACGACCGCTGGCTGCGAACTGACAGTAACCGTTCTGAGATACACAAAAAAGGCTTATTGCAAGATGCCTTGTTTCTTTTTTTTTTAATTCAAGACAAATCAAACTTGTATGTGAAGCCGCTCAGTAGCTACAGGGTCGGTGAACTTCACCACACCCCTCCAGTTCCTGTGAAGCACAAAAGGAAGTTCCCCTGCTGTTAATAGCAGCCAAACAGCAGCGACAGTTTCTCTGAAAAATGGTGGGAAAGTTAAGAAAGCATCGCATTATCTGTCTGACAGCACTTATTTAGCATCGGCTCATCAGATTTCTGTTTTCCACTGAAGGATGTGACCAAGTTACACCGTGACCCACTGACTTTCTGTTACACACACACAGACACACACAGAGCTATTTGCATTGTTCTCTCTGTGAATACGACTGTCAAGGTATCTACGGCCCCTCCAAAGAAAAACTGCAGCAGGGTTGACCCTTGAACTGCTGACTGCCGCCAGGAAAGCCGTGATTTGTGGTCAGAAGGCGAATCTCATTGTCATTTTGTCTGAGAGAGACACAAAAAAGAATTCCACCCAAAAAAATGCCCTCTATTTATCAGCACCTCTGTTTCAATCGAGATGGTGAGCAGAGTTAATCATTGACTCTGAAAAATGTGGGAGCTGTTTCTCACACAGTCTGAGGAGCAGCTTTAATTCATGTTCACATCCATGGAGACAGTTTGATGGTTATGGATACGTAGGACAACCTTCAAAAACAGTGAAACAAAGGTTACAGTTGGATTGATCTATTTGTCACTACTCCTCCTTCAGTTTGAGATAAACCTCATAATAAATCTAAACTAACTCAGTCAGGAAGAGTTTGCTATGACTTGTGTGACACTGCAAAGACATTTCCCCATAGATTGAAATTGAAAACGAGCCACAGAAACAGAACCGACCGGCTGAATTCAGTTTGGACTCTAAATCTAAACTGTATTGTCTCTTCATCTTCAATATTCCCTCGGTAATAAATATGGTTGTTGATGTTTTATCTTGTGAGCAGTGTGACTGAAGCGCAGGCCTTTTTTAAATTAATTTTATTGGTTTCTTTTGTTTTTGTTTCTTTTTACGTCAGGCTGTCAGGCCACTCCACCAATTCTGTCCACGGGTGCTGTGGTCTGGAATGGACAGAGTCCAGCCAAGGCTGTGGTGAAGAACCTAGTGTCCCGAATGATTCAGGAGCATCATTCTGTGATGTCATCGTGCCCATATGTATTGTTTGCATAGCTGGTAGTTCATTCTTTAGCTAAAGAGCTTAAGCAGAGGACATAACGTGTTTATGTGAAATGTACTGACTGAAATATTTGAAAACAAGACTCAAAAACAATGATTTAGTGAAGTTAGAGACTCGTGGTTTACCAGAGTGGTACTACGATCCCCTTTATTTCTCACCTAGAGCCTTTTCTCAGAGAAACTTGACAGTCAATTTTACTAAAACAACAGGCAGAGATTCGACTGAAATACAGAAAACAAGAGACCCACGAATTAATGAAGAACCTGAAACACAAGAAAATGCAGGAAAAAAAGCCCACAGTTAAATCCACAGAAACAAATTTAGGAAAACTGTGTTTTCTAAGAAGAATCTTGTGATACATTTTACTTTTCATCCAGTGCAAAAAAACTTAGAAGACATAAACTGACTGACTGACCGACCGACCGACCGACCGACTGACCGACCGACCGACCGACCGACCGACCGACCGACTGAATGAATGAATGAATGAATGAATGAATGAATGAATGAATGAATGAATGAATGAATGAAAATGTTGCCTACCGAATTGAAGAATGATGCGAGCATGTTGTTTAAGTGGAATATGACTTAAGAAAGACGCTGTGCTGTAAAACTTTTACCAAACTGGATTGACT